AGTACTACTTAATTTTAAGTTTCAACTCTTTTTCTTGATAAATCATTAAATTGTTAAAGTTTGTAGCAAAAAGTTCAAAGAACTTGTGAGGATATCACGTGCATTTATATTTGAATCGAATTTTGATCGAGCATCCTTTAATCTGAAAGTGATCATCGAATCCTTATAAGGATTACATTACTTCATTAATTTTTACTTACCTGTCAAAAGTACAAACATTTTTTTAACCTTTCTTGCACCTTGAGAACTTGTACTATAATTAAATGGAGAAATGTTTGTTAACCACGTAATTGAACGTATCCGGGTGTTAAATGTGATTTTTAAAAGGCTGTTGGGATTATATTATTACTAGTGATAGTAGGAGGCGGCTAAAGTTTTCAAGTATGTCATCATATATGAATAATTAATTGTTCTCCAAATATTTTAGAGTGTGTTTGTTTGTAAATATATTCTAAAAAGTTAATTCAACTCAACTCAAAATTTAATTCAACTTTAACTTAATCTTATTATTATCAATATTATCAATATAATTAAATAATATCAATCGATCATTCTTACACATCACATCAACTTTAATTCACTATTCATCCACTCACATAATTTTTTTTTTCGGTACAAAGAAGGAGGCCAACGGCCTATTAAGCTAAGATTCGACGGGGATACGACGCCCCAATAATGTCATGATCAAGCCAAGGAATTAGGCTGATAGGAGGTGACGTTATCCTCTGCAACCCAACCGGACAAGAAGCCGCCAAGCTCGCCAGGTGGTCAGCTTCAAAATTAGCTTCCCTATGCACATGCAGTATCTTGACGTTCCACTCACGCCCAATCAAACTACGAATGGCCTTAACCAAGGTATCATGTGGCCCAAACGAACCGTTCGGGCTCATTACCATTCGCATCACGCATTGACTGTCGATCTCGGCTCTCACTTGGCAGTACCCCTTGTCCCAAGCCTACTGGAGCCCCTGAAGTAGGCCCCAGAGCTCGGCTCCCGTAATGGTGCAGGCTCCAATATTCATAAAAAATCCCTCGATCCAATCACCCGAGTCATCTCGAAGCACTACTATAACTTCCATTATGTATTTTATTACATCAAAAATTAATTTTAATTATTTTATTTTAAATATTATTTTAATACAAACTTAAAATTTCAATAACAACTGACCAAACAATTTTTTTTTTTCAAAATTAACTATAGGTAATAAAAAAAACCAATCAAATACCAATATATTTGTAAACAAGCAAACACTAAGTGTTCATTGCAAATATAGTTTTAATTTGAAATTTCTTGGTATCATCCCAAATTATACTTCATTCACAACTTCTTTTTTTTTTCTTGACTCAACGGACACTAATCATTTTTCGTGACTCAAATTAACTAATACAAATACAAAATCATCAAAATCCAAAGAAATATATTTCAATAAAACTTCATTGATTATTATAATGTTATGCAATTCAAACAGAATTTTACGTTTGAATTAATTTTTAAGAATATTTCTGTTGGATTTTAACGCTTTCAAATGCATTTTTTTCTACAATTGAAATTATTAATTGGGGAAAAAAATTTCGAGAAAAAATTATATTTCAACGGAGATTCCTACAACAATAAATCTTTGAAAATTTGTTGTTGGAATCATCAAATTTCAACTACAATTTCCATAAAAGTTTAATTCCAATGAAAGATTTAGTATCCATTCGAATTTTTCAACAAAAATTAATGACATTAGAATATGCATATAAATTTTTGTTGGAAAATTNCAAACAACTAAATATGTATGTATGTATGTGTGTATATATATATATAAAGGGAATAATCAATTACTAAAAATAGTAGTAAAAAAATATGAGAACATTTAATGCATACTTTATTTAGAAACTTTTTAAATATATGTATTAATTTCTTGTATATACATATTTTCAAATCAGATATTATCAGATTCTTTCCTTAAATAATTTAGTATGATAAAAAGGTTCTTTTCTTGAATAATTTTATTAACATCTTCAATAATATTATTTATATCTATTATAATAAATTGTAATTTGTTTTGTGATTCATGTTGATAATATTTTGGTCAACATAAACATGAAGACAAATTTAAGTCTTAACCATATTATTAATTTTTTTTTCACAAATATTACTTTCATCCTAAAAAACATGTATAAACAATCGTAACATGTTAGGTAATTTTCTCCTTCTAACTAATTTGGCGCAATCAAGTTGCTTAATTAATATTTGCCGATAATATTTTTTTAACTCTTATTTAATTATATAAAAAATAAATAATTATTCAAATCAAAATAATTTACCATTTAAGAGATAATGATTAGATACATAAATAATATTACTAATGGCCATATATAAAATTAAAATATATTAACTATTCTTTAAAATTTCAACATGTAATTTATTTATATATTATTGTCAACCATGATAAATTTTTATAATTTCTTTTTATGATTTCTTTCCACAATGAATTTATTATAAAATATATTTTCATTGTTGCATAGTATGTTAAATAAACTATAAAGCCGTAGGATGCAAATTAAAAAAATCTCTTGATTATATAAGCAATTCATTTTTTAGAAATTGCTAATCAAGATTTTATTAGTTATCATGAGAAAATAAAATTCTAAAAAACATGTTTGTATTTGTAAGCATTTATACACAATATTTTGTTTTAAATTTATTTACATAAATTTAAATTAATTACATTAATAGAATTATTTACGTACATTAAATATTTTTCATCACATAAATTAAGAAAAAATAGAGTACTTCTATAGCTTTTATAAATAATAATAATGACAATATATGACAACTAATTTTATAATAAAATAATAATTGAGTAATTGTTTTTTCTTATATCAATGAATAAATATATATACTCAAATCAAGTTTATAACGTGTTAGCGAAATAGTATATGAATTAACATGGTAACGTTCTGGATCAAATAACTTCACTGATTAAAAGAGATGGAAAATAAATGATCCTAGACTTGTCGAAACGGGCCTGGGCCCGCGGCCCGCCCCGCCCCGCCAAACAGGTGGGTTGGGTTGGCATTTTGGCGGGCCTAAACGGGCTGGCCCGCGCGGGCCGTGGGCTTTGGCACATTATAGAAAAAAAAAAAATTATATATGTAATGTAAGTATGTAAGTATGATGTATGTAACTATGTATTAGGAATCGCCCTTTAAATCTGGTATGAATCTCAATCTTTCATCTATGATTTTTAATTTTTTTTTTTCATTAAGTCTTGAAAATTAAAATTAAAAAATAAAAACAAATTAAAACAAATAAAGAGAACAGAGTTGCGGTCGCGGTCTAATTTCATTCACAAACCGTAAACAATTGTATTGTGAATTTTGTGTATTTTTTAGCAGCAGGTGATTTTCTTATTTATGCTGAATGCAATTGTCTAGGCTAGCAAGTGGCTTATGCCTTATTTATTCAATCCTGCAGCAGTTTTCTTTTTTCTTTTTCTTAAAAAAAAAAAAAAAATTGGCGGGCCAGCAAGCCTAGCCCGCGGCCCATGGCCGGGCTGGCCATTTAGAAGCCCGCCAGGCAGGGGCGGACGTAGACTTGCAAAGTTAAGGGGGCACAATGTAACTTTCACGATATGCCAAAAAAATAATATAATATTATTTTAAAATCATTGTCTATATATTTTTATATTTTGCATCATTTAATAACTACATTATTTTCAATATTATCAAATTAATCTTTCTCCACCGTCAAAATTCTCATTATTTTTATCTTATATCTTTTACCGTCTATATGTGGGCTTCTGTTTACAATGTTTCTTCACAATGAATACATAAAAGTCATATTAATTAGTAATCAATATGTACAATAATTTGATTGCTTGTTTAAAGTTATGACTAAAAATTGAAAACACCTAAATAAAGTATGTATCAAATTTAAAACAAAGCCTTTAGATATCTTATTTAGGAACATGACTTTTTATCAAAATTATGAAAGCTCTAAAGTGGTATCACATCAATTCTTAAAATCCCTTAATACAAATATAGGTTTACAAGGACTAAAATATGAATTATAAAGTTGATAGATGCAAAAACGGATAAATAGGAATCATAGTTGGGTTAATATTTAATTTTTTTCAAGACATGATTGTGAAAGGATTATTTTTTAGTTTTTTTTTACATGGAGTTGTTATTTTTTAAAAATAAAACTCTATTATAATGTTTGGAAATTAGAGAAAAATAAATAGACTACTAAAATCAATATTTCTAATAAATAACTTAGGCACAAATTTTTATTTCTTCATAAATAGACTACTAAAATCAATACTTCTAATAAATAATATAGGCACAAATTTTTATAGAAGAAATACTATTTTTTTTTTCAAATTTTTATATAATACAAGTATTTTTTTTTAATTCTACGGGGCCCGTGCCCCTACGGGCCCCTATTTGCGTCCGCCACTGTCGCCAGGATGGCGGCCCGCCCCGTCCCGCCCCGCCCTGGAAAAAGGCGGGTTTTGGCGGGCTGCGGGCCGGGCCTTGACAAGTCTAGATGATCCAACTCTATTGTTTTTTGTGTCTAAACGGACAAGCCTATATAAATGACTCACTAAATATATGTGTCTTGTGCATCGCACGAGCTATGTACTAATATTTCATTATCCAATAAGATTGTTGTTGGACAACTTTAACAATTAGACAACATACTTTTTTGGATATATATGTATATTGTCAAGTTGAAATGTCATACTCTAAAAAATAACATGAACAAAATATAATAGTTTATAACTATATGTAATTTTAGTAAAAAAAAATAAAGAAAAGAAAGAAGAAATATAATGCGTCGACCCATCTAATA